TCGCTCCTTCATCCGTGGCCGCGAAGTCTACAGTTTTGCCCATTGCTTCTCCTGTTAACAGTGTCGGTAACTCGTCTTGCTCTATTGATATTCAACTGTCTGCTGCTTCTGATCGCCTGCCTGCTGCTTTCCCGATTGACTCATACGAACAGTGTAATTTAGTCGCTCCTGCGCCGACAGTCAACTGATCAAGGTATCTTACGCGCGGCCTACGTCCGCTGCTGCGGCGGGCGCTGGCACTACTGCTAATGCTAACATCGTATGGTAACGCCACTAGCTTATATATACCTGTAGCGCGTGATAATGCTAATGCTTCTGCTTCTGCTGTTAATGATAACAACCACCCCAGTCGGAATTTTAAGACCATTGCTGGTTGCAATGCTAGTAGTGACTTAGAAGTTGCACCACGAACAAAATGGCTACACCTGTCGTCGTTTATGAATTCAGTCACCGCTGATAACATTGTCGCATATGTTTCGAAGAATACGTCCATTGAGTCTAGCTTGATATCCTGCCATATGTTGGTGAAGAAAGATGTAGATGTTAAAACATTAAAACATGTCAATTTCAAGATAGGAGTTCCATCTTTACACTACGCGTCTCTTCTCAACTCTGCGATTTGGCCAGCTGATGTTAATGTGCGTCCGTTTGAGTTTTTTCAGAAAGCAGGTGCGGCACAACCAAAACCGTAACTGATTCCCTTCTGTGTGAACCTCTTTCCAAGTCTCTAAGGATATGTTTTCATGTTTCTGGACTCGGAACAAAATCCAGTACAGTTTTTAATATGAGTACTCACTTGGACTATGACGTCTTCGTTCTTATTGAAACATGGTTGAATGCTGATTTTTGTGAAAATTAATTTTTCGACCCCAATCTATTTAATGTGTACCGGAAAGATCGTGATTTTATTAAAACTGTATTGTCAAGGGGCGGTGGTGTTTTAATCGCTGTCCAGCGTCGGTATCGCTCATCACTCATTCATTTAGAAAATGTGGACTCAGTTCTGGACCAACTTTGCGTTGTGGTACAAGGTACCACGAATATCTATATCTGTGCGTCCTACATTCCACCGTCCAGTGTTGATAGTCTCTACAAAGCCCATGTTGACAACATAACGGCTCTCGTCTGCAAACATTCTGGTAGCAACTTTTGTGTTCTTGGAGACTTCAACTTGCCTAGTATTGAATGGTCATATGTAGATAGTAACTATGCCCTAATTCCAAAAAACATTAATAGCTATTCGGAGTCCTACTTAGTTGATTGTTTTTTAAGTCTAGATTTTATTCAAATCAACAGTTTTTTAAACAAGTTTGTTGAATTCTGGATCTTATCTTCATAAGTGATAACATGCGTTTCACACTTCATGAATGTCTTGATCCTTTATCAAGTTCTTGTAATCATCACATACCGCTCACTATTTGTCTAGAATTTTACAGTTTTAAAAGTCTTTGTTTTAATAATCAAATTAATAACTTCTGCTTTAAACGTTGTAATTTTAATATTGTAGATAACGAAATTTCTCTATTAGATTGGGATTCCCTTTTTACTGGGATAAATATTTCTTCATGCTTTGACAAATTTAAAACAAAGATGTATGAAATCTTCTGCGAAAACTTACCACGTGTTAGCAAGAATGCAAAAATGCTCAAGAATTTGAGGAATAAGTTTTTAAGAAAATTTAAATTAACTAGTGCCCAAGCGTATAGGGAAAAATATTTGCGCTACTCCAAGAAGTTCAAACATTTAAGTAAAATTCTCCAGCGTAATTATATTCGTAAATTTGAGTCTGATATTAAGGCACACTTGCAGAACATCCAGAGTTAAATATATAAATACAGAGTTCAGTAGCTAAGAGTCAAATTTTTACATTACTAAAACCGACAATGTTTTGCAGCATTGAAAACTGACTCAGAGTTAAGTTACCCGAGGGATTTCTAAATTAAGTAGGCACCACTCTCTTTTTTTTTGACGATTGTTTTGATTGTTTATATTTATTATTTGAAATTAAATATAAAATTTCTATTACAACCAGAAAAACTAAAGAATGGCAAATATTAAATAAAATTATATCTCGCTATGGTTGGATCAATACACATGCCTGTCCAAGCACATCAAGTTTAAGAGGGACTTGTATTACTTGACCTGAATATGTACTCATTTATGTACCAAATCCACGCCATGGTAGTTGAAACACTGCGATCATGAAGATCTTCAGCTCATTTCTCTCCAAATTAGCCAGCGACACTTCTTCACTGCACACTTTCGGTGAATTTAAATCGCATATACATATTTTTTTACGCGATACTGACCGAAACCTCTATTTGAAGGCGGAAAAATGAATACGTGCATATGTGTGTATGTAAACATGTGTTCAAAAATATTTTTAAAATTTTTGAAATTTCAATTTTATTATTCTTGTTACTGACAAATTGACATATGTAGAGTTAGCTAGTTAACCTTCGAAAATTGCTGGGCTAAATATTTAACGAGTTAACTTTAATTTTACACACAAGCATTGATTGTGCAAGCCAATTTATCAATTTAACCGGTAAACTTCGAGTTATATAGACAACCTGTTATTCTGCAAGTGGGCCTAAGTGTAATCCAAAAGCTTTCTGGCGTTACGT